AAACTTAACCCCCAAACCCCACAACAGCCCCCAAATCACCCCCACAAAGCAAGGCCCCCGAGCCACGGACGCTCGCAATTCTCCGCCAGGGCCCTGCGAGCTTCCAGGGTCGCCTTTTACAGTTCGGCGGCTTTTCCACAGGGTTCTCTTTCCGGTGTAAGGGGTTCCCTTGAAGGGTTCGTTTCAAGGATCTTGGGTGTTGGGGGTTGGGATTTTTTGGGGGGCTTGAGGAGTTTTGAGTTTTGGGTTTTACGATTTTACTGTTATTTGTTTGGGGCAGGGCGGCGAATAAAGCACCCCAGCCTGTAAAACCCCTCACAGAGCATGTATGAATCCTCAGCACTCAAAGAGCAATCCCAAGACAGCGGAAGAATTTATGCTTGGGCAGAGGCTTGCGGGGCTTTGACCCTGGGTTCAACGGCGCACCCGGCTGCTTTCCAGGCGGAGCCAGAGTGGCACGAACCGCTCGGTAGAGGCATTCCTGGCCAAGAAGTGAACAAGCCCTAAACCCTAAACCCTAAATCCCTAAACCAGGAGTTTCGCAGGGCTGTGTGGGAAGCTGCTCCCACACATGGCAGTCAGAGAAGGCAGAAGCCCGGAAACCCCAAGAAGCTCGGAGCACAGAGTGCGAGCTCGAGGAAGGTGAATTGGAGGCTGAAGAAGGGCGATGGGTAACTAGATCGATTCCTCTTTTAACCAGAGGCGATCATCCCGCCAGAGGTCTCAGAGTAGAAGCCCAAGATTCAGTCCTCCGATTACAAGTCGCGTGCAGCGCCTCCGTGCTTTCTAAACATGCTCTTCCTGTTGCTGCTTATAAGTCCCGAAACCCCAAAACCCCCAAGCTCACCCTAAACAAAACCAAAAACATATTTTCTTTAAAGTCATCCCGGAAGACCTGAATCTCCAAACCCCCCGAGGCCCCGGCCACACCGGGTAGGCCGGATGCAGAGCCAGGCTCCCCAACAGCCAGATCACGCCCTCTGCCAAGGATTTAGGGCTTTAGGGGTTTAGGGGTTTGGGGGCTTAGGGTTTGGGGTTTTTAGGGTTCCCTAAACTAAACCTTCTTCGAAGGGGGGGCACTAAGGGTTTCTTTCGGGGCTTGCAAGGTTTTAGTGGCTTCCGGTAGGGTTCTTTACAAAAGCTTACTCTTTGGTTTTTTTGGATGTTTAATGAAGAGTTTCCTGACGGGGTTCAAGGCTTTTTGCTTAGGGTTTAGGAGCTTTAGGCTTTAGGGAAGCGGTTGGGAGTCTTCGCTTGCCAGTGTATCGGATAGAGGCCAGAAGAAGCCAAGCAAGGGCCAAGCAGATGCGGAGACCAAACCGACGAAACGCCAAGATGGCCAGCGAAAAAACGTGCAGTCGCACAGTACTGAAAGGCGTGCCCCAAGGCCCGTAAAAATGCTAAAAAGACAGCTGCAAGCAAGGCAGTGACATAATGTAAAGACACTGGCGGTGGCTTCATGACAACTTGCAGTGACAAAAGATTATAGCAGAATGCCAATATTGTTGGAGTATCCCCGGAGTCTGCTGCAACACATCATAGAATCATATACAAGGGTATTCCAGACTGACGAAAGCCAAAGCCAAAGCCTCATTTCCACATCATCTTCACCACACCACCGGTTCTTCTCAGAAGCCCGGAAACTTGAGGCACCAAACCCGGAGAGCCTCCATGGAAAAGCGGTTCTTCGTGAGAAGCAACTCCTGCACCGGGGCCTCCGCCGTGGCAGTGCTTAGTGTGCAAAATGGCGGATTTCAGAACATAGCGCCCTTGCAATAAGCATGCAGCATCCTATGCCACGAGGTTTTAGGGGCAGGATGGTGGGTTCTGGTGTTGTGTTTCTTCTGCGCCGTAGGTTCCGAGGCGACAGTAGGGCCACCAAAGCTTTGCCGGAGGGCTTCGAAGAAGAGCCCGCATTCAGACACCACATGCTCTCAGCATTGCCATCTCAGAATCTCTCTGCAACCGGCCCACCTGGCTCGACGACGCCAGGTACTTGGCAAGACACCTGCGAGGACGAACCCGGGCTCAGGTACTCTAAACCCTAAACCCTACCCAACCCGGCAAATCGAAATGCCAAGAAGCCCCGAAACTCCCGGCCTGAGGCCCTCGTTGCCGATATGGTTTCCGCTGAGCCGGAGCACCTGCCGCCATCCGAGGTTTCGGATAGGGTTCTAGGGTGTAGGATTTTTTTGGGGGGAGTGCACCACGCACTATGCCGAAATCATTCGGAAGTGGCATAGCTCGAAGTTGGCCTCGCACCGTACCCGGTGCTTCTCCAGGAGGTCGCACAGGGCCTCACGGGCTGGGGCAATCTTCAACGTTCGTGGTTTGGGGCTTGCTGATGTTTAGGGCCTTCGCCGTTCTCAAACTCCTCACTGTGACGGAGGACGGGCCTTCATTCCCTTCACGGAAATCGTGTTCTCCGAGAAGTCGATCGTGGATGCCTGTCACCCGAAAGTACATGCGGACGTTGCTTTGAATATTGGAGCCTTCAACGCCTTCAACTTGTGCATAAGTGTTGACCGTGATGTTGCGCATTCACTCACATCTTCCCATTCTCTGCCGGGGCCCGGGGCCCTGCAGCCTCAACCCACAACCCTTCAAAACAAAACGGAACCCAAAACAAAAAGATTTAGGGTTTCGGGTCCGGGGTTTAGGGTTACAGATTGGAGGGACTCCGGCCTTGAACTGACTGCCACCGGCAAAGTTGGGACGCTCGGCAGTCAACCGCCTTGGCTGGGGACCCCTTCATGGACGACAGCTGACTGATGATCACACTGGTATGATGCTAGCATTAATGACAATATTAGTAGTAATCATAATCACAATCATAACAATGCGAAGAACAGTAGTAGCAGTAGTAGTAGTAGTAGTAGTAGTAGTAGTAGTAGTAGGAGTAGGAGTAGGAGTAGGCGTAGGCGTAGGAGTAGGAGTAGGAGTAGGAGTAGGAGTAGGAGTAGGAGTAGGAGTAGGAGTAGGAGTAGGAGTAGGAGTAGGAGTAGGAGGGGCAATGCCACACAGCAACCGCTGTACATAAGATAGTAG